CCTCCCATCTTCTCTCTCTACCCCATCTACTGTAATTCATTTCTCTCCTTGTTTTTTTCCCATTCCCCTCACAACCTCTTATATGTAATTTTGTGTAACAGTGAGGGTCTCCTTCCATTTCCATGCATTTTCCCTTTTCTCTCCCTTTCCCTCCCACCTCATGTCTCTGTTTAATGTTAATCTTTTCCTTCTGCTCTTCCTCCCTGCTCTGTTCTTAGTTGCTCTCATTATATCAAAGAAGACATTTGGCATTTGTTTTTTAGGGATTGGCTAGCTTCACTTAGCATAATCTGCTCTAATGCCATCCATTTCCCTGCAAATTCCATGATTTTGTCATTTTTTAGTGCTGTGTAATACTCCATTGTGTATAAGTGCCACATTTTTTTTTATCCATTCATCTATTGAAGGGCATCTGGGTTGGTTCCACAGTCTAGCTATTGTGAATTGTGCTGCTATGAACATCGATGTGGCAGTATCCCTGTGGTACGCTCTTTTAAGGTCTTCAGGGAATAGTCCGAGAAGGGCAATAGCTGGGTCAAATGGTGGTTCCATTCCCAGCTTTCCCAGGAATCTCCATACTGCTTTCCAAATTGGCCGCACCAATTTGCAGTCCCACCAGCAATGTACAAGAGTACCCTTTTCTCCACATCCTCGCCAGCACTTGTTGTTGTTTGACTTCATAATGGCTGCCAATCTTATTGGAGTGAGATGGTATCTTAGGGTGGTTTTGATTTGCATTTCTCTGACTGCTAGAGATGGTGAGCATTTTTTCATGTACTTGTTGACTGATTGTATGTCCTCCTCTGAGAAGTGTCTGTTCAGGTCCTTGGCCCATTTGTTGATTGGGTTATTTGTTAAAAGCAATCATGAAATTCATATGGAAAAATAAAAGACCCAGAATAGCAAAAGCAACTCTAAGCAGGAAATGTGAATCAGGCGGCATAGAGATACCAGATTTCAAACTATACTACAGAGCAATAGTAACAAAAACAGCATGGTACTGGTACCAAAACAGGTGGGTGGACCAATGGTACAGAATAGAGGACACAGAGACTAATCCACAAAGTTACAACTATCTTATATTTGATAAAGGGGCTAAAAGCATGCAATGGAGGAAGGATAGCATCTTCAACAAATGGTGCTGGGAAAACTGGAAATCCATATGCAACAAAATGAAACTGAACCCCCTTCTCTCGCCATGCACAAAAGTTAACTCAAAATGGATCAAGGAGCTTGATATCAAATCAGAGACTCTGTGTCTGATAGAAGAAAAAGTTGGCTCCGATCTACATATTGTGGGGTCGGGCTCCAAATTCCTTAATAGGACACCCATAGCACAGGCCAATGTCTTCACAACCACTTTGCTGCTGTATGTCCAGGGATGTGCTGAGCCCTCTCACATTTTTTAGAATGGCCCTGAATTTCAGGGCCAGAGTTTCTAAGAAAACTACAGTCCTGCTCAGAGAAAGCTCAGTCTAGCTCTAGCAAGAGGCTTGTTGGGAGTGACAGTGTGTGACACATTCCCTGCAGCGAGAAGGAAGTCATGGAGGGCAGGCCAATGATCCTGAATGACATGATGTTGAATTAACACCCTGGGTGCCTGAATAGAAGTACAAGTAACCCAACGTCAGGGGACAATGAGCTTCCTGTTGAGCAACTCCTGCTGATAAAATATTTCAGAGCAAAAGATTATATTTTTTTCTTTTACAAAACATTGGTTGGTGGACAGGGTGCCTTTGGGGAATCTATTCCAAGTTTAAGGTCTGTAAAAACCCCATCCAAGACTCAGGGGAGCAGAGTTTACATCCTGACTTCCCTACGTGCAGGCTGGGTGCATTTGCTGTGGCTTAGCATCTAAAAGTCAGGAGCGGGACTACCTACTCTACCTACTGCCTATTCCACCTGTCCACCCTACTGCACTCCCTGATCATGGGTGGAGATAGGGTGAGACAAGATGATGACTGAAGCTCCTTCTAGGTTGACACATCAATGCAGTGGAGCTGCAGCAGTGAGTGCTGAGGAACTGCTATCTTCCTGCTATAGCCCCTTGTCCCACTCCAGAGCTCAGCAGAGATTTCTGGGGCCCGATATGCCTGATTCCTCTGGGTCCCCTGTGGAGGGACCTTTTGCCAGGGGCAGCCCTCATCAGAGTGCTTCCTCTCCTCTCTCAATTCTTTTCCAAATCCTTTGTCTGTGCCTTCCCAGTGGGCCTCCTGAAAGGTTCCCATGATAAAGTCCTAGTCTCAGGGTCTGCTTTCTGGGGCACCCAAAGATCTTACTGTCATTCAGATGTTCAAACTCAAATAAAGAGAGTAGAATTTTCTTTGGAATTTCTGATTTAGTTGATTGGGGTGTGGCCTAAGCTGAGGGGTGCTCTGCACTGGCACAATCAAGTGGAGAATGGCTGCTATCTAGGTCTGCAGATGGCAGCCTGGGCTACATGGGAACTGGTCAGACCCACTGCCTCAGAATCTCCCCTCAATAAGCTCCCCAGATAATGTTTGTGTGAGTGTTAAAGTTTTTGGTTCACTGGTCTCCACATGACAGTGTAACAGGAGAAGCCTGGTGGTTAGCCTCCTTTTTCCTGGGTTCAACCTCCTTTGGGCATGACCTCTGGCAAACTAGTTTGGGTCTCTGCATTTCAAGGGCCAAGGGAGCTGCCTCTGTGTTTACTGTTAGAAATAAATAAAATGCTGTTTCTATGTGCTTTGTAAGCATTGAACCCTGCAAATTTTGGTTTCCGCCCACTGTGAAGTTCTACCATGGGAGGCATCTATGGCTGTGTTGTTGCAAAACAGAGAAATTCAGATCTTCCAAACTCTTCTCAGTTCAACATCATTCTCAAATGTTAGTTATTTCAGAGCCCTGGAGTGCTTGTTAAGCACAGATGGCTGTGCCGCACCCAGTGTCAGATACAGAGGGTCAGGGTGACCCAGAGTTCACATATTTAACAACTCCCTCCCAGGGGATGTCAGTGTTGCTGGGGTGATCTCACTTTGAGGTGTTATCTCATTAAAAAGGCACTGGTGTGGATGCTGAGGAAAGTGCTTAAATCCTGGCCTCAGGGGCAACTGCCCTTTGCTTCTTGGTACTTAGGAATCCAGAGCAAATTCATAAAGTTCTAGTGGATCTTCAACCCAGTCCCAGCTGCCTTTTTGAGTTGAAAATAAGAATTTGGGCTAAGAGTACTGTTCTTTTACAACCTACCCAAGGTCTACGTGGACTAGAATGACAAGAGGAACAGGGATGGGCTATTAAACCATGGTGAGGAAGGGTTAGATTGGCAGGTGAAAGATTGCCTCAACATGGGGCCTGAGGCTGTGCAAGTTCTTTCACTCCAGCAAGGGTCTGAGATACTGCCAGCTCCTAAGAAGACCTGATGGGCCACAGAACTCAGACCTGAGCACCTGGCTTGGAAGCCACCCTCAGGCTTACTTTTCTAGTCATCTATGACTATGTACATGGGCAGATTGGAGCCTCATCCACTTGCTGCACTTGCTAGGTGCTCAGTGACAAGGGATAAGGTTATGTGGACTTCCTGAGATCATGTGCCCTGTTTCAACTTGAAAAATGCTTGAATGTCTAAGACTACATGGACCTCTAAGGAGTTGGGACCAGGAGCTGACAACTAGCAGGCATGAGTCGTCTCAGTATCTGTATGTTCCCTTTGCAGTTTATGAGCCCATCTGAGGTTCCCACTAAAGCTCATGTGTTAGAGCCCTAGTAGCTCAGTATGTGACTATATTTGGAAATAGATCCTTTAAAGAGATGATGAAGTTATTAAAATGAGATTATATAGGTGAGCCTTAATCCAATGTAACCGGTATCCTAATAAGAAGAGCTTAGGACACAGACTCAGAAAAGAGAAGACCATATGAACACACAAGGAGAAGATGGTTATCTTCAAGCCAACAGAAGAGACTTCAGGAGAAACCAATCTGGGACAGCTTTATCTAAGACTTCCAGCCTCCAGAACAGAGAGACAATAAATTTCTATTTTAAACCGTTCAGTCTATGAGTACTTTATTTTGGAAGCCCAAGTACACCAATATACCTATCTTCAAACCTTCAGGGACAGGCAACCCATTAAAAACCTTGCATTACTCATAGCATGTAGCTCAGTTCAGGGTTATGATTTGGCCTCAAAAAGCATGTAAGGATGGAAATAGTAATGACTGGGATTCATTCTTAGCATGTTTAGTTAAATGAATTGATACTTAAAAATATTAAAGTAGAGGCAGAGGAGCATAAACCAAGAGGTAGTCTATGTACCCTCTCTGTCCTGGCCTGCTGTCTCCAGCTCATGGGGCTTCACAGATGAACTCTCATCTCTTTGGGTTTTGAATATCTCAGTGTAAAATGGGGGTAAAAAAGGTATCATTCTCAAAAGGCTGCTGCTAAAGTTTGTGTAAAATGATTTAAGAATTTAGCACAGTAACTGACAGAATACAGAGCTGGCTATTATAGAAGCTTCTTCCAATAATAATTATAATGATAATCAAAAAAGGCATAGTCATTCACCATGGCACACTGCAGAATTAAGTATATTTAGAAAGATAAATCTAGTTACAAAGAGGCTTTGAAATTTGTTTAGAACATTTGCCTAATGAAGAGTGTTGACAAAGACCTACCTCTGTTTTTTTTTTTTTCTTTTTTTTTTCTCTCTTTGGTCCTACAGCTTTAATTTGTATTACTAAAGAATGAAAAGCATTTATTAGAAAATGCCAAATAATCACTGAAAATTAGAAGAGATTAAAAAGACACTTGAAGGCTCGTGAACTCAAAGTTGCAACATTTTTACATAACTCTTTTTTGTCTTTCAAAAAAGTCTATTAAGATGTTCTATTTGGGTGACGTCAGGCCGCGCGGCCGGGCCGGGACCAGGCGGCGGCTCGCGGAGGCGCTTCCCTAGCGTGACGCGCGGACTCGGCTGCCCAGTGGCCCGCCCGCCCGCCGGCCTCACCGCCGCCTCCCTTGCTCCCTGAGCGCGCCGTGCGCAGGCCAGCGGCCGGGGCGGAGGCCCGGGACGACGCGGCGCGGAGAGGGACGGCGGGCGGGCGGGCAGTGGGAGCGCCGGTCTCTATATGGCGGCGGCTCTGTCGGGCCTGGCTGTCCGCCTCTCGCGCTCGGCCGCCGCCCGCTCCTATGGGGTCTTCTGCAAGGGGCTGACCCGCACACTGCTTATCTTCTTCGACCTGGCCTGGCGGCTGCGTATCAACTTCCCCTACCTCTACATCGTGGCTTCCATGATGCTTAACGTGCGCCTGCAGGTTCATATTGAGATCCACTGAAGGCCCTCCCCTGATTGACAAAGGTGTTACCCCAGGCTCACTGCATCAAAGAATACAAAACATGAGGGACGGAGGAGGGACCCTCGGCATCTGCCTGATAGAAGCAAAGGGGGAGGGAGGAGATGACTGGTACAAACAATTATGTAGCCTTAAGAAAAGAACACAGAAGGAGAGCCCTTGCCCAGCAGATATACCTTTCTGGATGGATAAGTCTGCAGTTGATGTAAATGGAAATTCACAGAATGAGGTGTTATTGGAAATGAAAAACGATCTGAGTGACACTGATCTCTTGCTTCACAATGGCAACAAAGAGCTTCCATATTTGAAGAAATCAATGGGAAGAAATTTAGCTCCCGTAGCTGCTCCAACCAAGGCCATGGGCCTGTCCTTTGCTCCTGCAGAAGAGCATCTTGCTGGGGTGTTCCTCGGTGTTGGGGTTGCTCTGGGGAGGGACTGGCTAAGAAGCGGGCCCAGAGCCATGGACAGCCAGAGAGGACAGTGCCCCAAAGGAGAGTCCTGGGTGTCAGGACAGCCAGTCCCTCCGAAACTGTGGGAAATGGTAGTTTTTAAGGGTGAACCACCAAGTGCTCTTCATGAGGGACTAGGCTCTGAGTCAGAACTGTCTCGCCTGCGTTCTGTGCTGCCTGCAACACTGCACTCCTGTCCTGAAGTACTCCTAGAGGACAAGACAAGATGTGTTTTCCTTGACCATTTAAAGCCCATGTTTTCAGAGCAAACAACAGAGTATAAGAAAATGCTTTCATGTGTAAAAAGTACCTCAAATGGTCTGGAGATAACACTGGGGTTACTGGCTCTACAGCCTTTTCAATTAGCAAATCCCTTATGCCATAGTTAAGGTACAAGCAGAACAATAAAATAGTAGATTAATTTTAGAAGTTGTCCTAGAATGATTTCTTTCCCATTAAGTCTGGATGCAGACAGCTTAGCTGCTCAGATCCTGCTTTGGTTTGTGTGACCAGGCAGAGGAAGTCAAGTTCACTCACCAAAAACTGATGGATGCAGAAGGAATTTTTAGCATGTTTTAAATTGTGCTTAAAAGACTCTCAGAATTGGTAAAACCCTTTCAGATGATTATTGATATATCCAGTTTAATATCAGATAAGCACATGGTGATTTAACATGAAATTCTTTATATATCTCGAGATCTCTATCCATTTTAAAGGGCTATTGTCCCAGACATCATCTTGTCTCCTCAACTCGTCTTTGATCACCTCTTGGAAGTGAATATTTGTAAAGTCTACCCACTGTATTTTTATTAAACCTTGCTAAGCTCATGGCGAGCTGTTGCCATTTCTGCATCTCATAGAATAATTTTGGTCTGCAGTAAAATCTGACTTCTTTTCTCATACTCCTTCCACTTGAAATGCTGTTTAAATGGAGGCCCTATGGTGAAAGTTGCAATATTAAATTTAATCATCTCAAACTAGGAACCCTAGCAGTGTTACCCTAAGTGAAAAGGAACTTGAGACTCTTTGCTCTGGCTCAGATGTAGAGAGGCAAATCAAGAACCTCCTTTACAAAAGTCCTAAGAGTTGATGTCTTTTAAGATTTTTCTGAAGTGACTCCTTTTGTTGTTCATTGATAATTTTATTAATAAACGTCATTTAAAAGTGTAAGTTTTTAAGGACTCCCAAAGTGAGACTTAAAACAGCTATTTGGGGGATAACTGATTGCATATATCAATTTATATTGTGTGCTAAATTACTATGCCATGTGCTATTTTAGTGTTTGGGGAAAATGCAGAATAAAATCTGTTCTTTAGCATAATAAATGTCTTATTTTACGTGTGTAAAAAAAAAAAAAAAAAAAAAGATGTTCTATTTGCATTTATCAAGTTTATGATACATATTATTTAAAAAAATCTAATTCCTTTCAAGGCCTGACCCTTGAGCCAGCCCTCCCTCTTCCTGCCTGTGCCCCATTTCTAGCTCCCTGGCAGTGGCAAATCCCCTCACTTCCAACTGGTTCTTCATTTCAATTATGTATTTATATGCTGATTTACATCTTAATTTTCTTCTGTCTTAGGCATTGTCATTGAGTTTCTTTATAAAGATGGGGACTTGACCCGATGCTTACCAGGATGGCAGTGGTGATGGAGTGGAGCTGGTGCTCAACTCACCACATGCAATAGGCTTCTTTTATCTCTGACCACATTGCCTTACTCCGAGAATGCAGGATGGGGAAAGCAGCATGTCCAGCATCTTCACCTTTAGGAGTCCAGTAGCTTTCTCTCCACATGAGATTCGTATAGCTGTCACAGAGAAGAGTCATAGTGAGTAGGGTTACCTGGACAGAAAGGCCACATATTTGGTTTCCCCTCAATCTTTTATATCAGCCTGGTATCACAGGTCCCAAGTTGAGGGTCAGGTCACAGCCTCTCCACTTCAGGTCAGCCCTAGAGATCAGGGATTCCTGAGCAAACCAGGTGGATATTGTATCCTTATTAACCAGACTTTTGTCATCTCCAGGAAGCAGACAAGAGACGCTCTGAGGTCTTTTTCTGAGGTGAACTTTTATCAACCCAGGGCTGATGTTAACCTTTGATTCTATCCTCCTCCGTCGCCTTCTTCTCCTCCTCCTCCTCCTCCTCCTTCTCCTTCTCTCTCTCTCTCTCTCTCTCTCTCTCTCTCTCTCTCTCTCTCTTTCTCTTACACACAAATACACATTTGCACCCACACATATATCACACACAAAGGCACACAGGGATGATATGTGGCTACATTTTCACCCAACTTTCTTCTCAGCATAGTCATATTGCAGTTTTGGTGAAGTCCCTATTCAGGGTTTATGTTTTATGACTGTGTCACAACAGTTAAGTCCTGTATTCTGTAAGTCTACAGTGTACTATGATTGCTTTCCCCACCCCAATATAACTTTTTGTTTTTCTTGGAGTTCATAATTGTTTTTGTTTGTACTTTTTTTTTTGGGGGGGGGTTTACTTTTTTAAATTTTTATTTGTTTTAATTAGTTATATGTGACAGTAGAATGCATTTATGCACTTTGATATGTCATACATAGATGGGATATAATTTCTCACTTTTCTGAGTGTACATGTTGCAGAATCATATTGGTCATGTAGTCACATATATGCATAATAATGTCTGTTTCATTCTACTATCTTTCCTATCCCCACACCTTCTCCTCTCTCCTCCCATCACTTCCCTCTTCCTAATCTAAGGTAACACTATTCTTCCCTAGTGCCCCTCGCCTTATTGTGAATTAGCATCCGCATATTAGAGAAAACATTTGGCCTTTGGTTTTGTGGGATTGCCTTATTTTGCTTAGGACTTTTCAAACTGAGAATGTATTTTCAAATTCTTCTCTAGTTACTTAAGATATTTATACCAGATTGTCTTTTTTTTTAAAAAACCTTTATCTTATTTTATTTTTTAACGTAGTACTGAGGATTGAATCCAGTGCCTCACACACATACTAGGCAAGCGTATTCCCACTGAGCTACAACCCCAGTCTCCAGATGGTCTTTTAATTTTGACTCTTCCACTGAAGACCAAAGTCCAGATCCCCTGTATCACTGCCATTCTGGCACCTTTACCTGGAGTTCCTGCAGGGAATTCTCTGCTTCTGAAATTCTATGTTTCCACATTCTTTGATTCATTCTCTCAGTCTTATGGAGTACAAACTCCAGTACCTTCTTGAGAATGAGAGAAAGGAAGGAAAATTTCTGATATCTTGCACAGTTGAAAGCGACTATAGTCTATTCCCATATTTCTCTGGATGATGCTACACTTTGAATGTTCTCCCAAAATTCAGTTGTTGAATTCTCTACTTCAGTGCTATTAAGGTGGGTGGACTTTGGGAGATGACTAGGTCCTGAGGGCTCTGTCCTCATAAATGAGACTAGTACTCTTATAAAAAGAGACTTGAGGGAGCTTATTCATCTTGTCTGTTTATACAAGGACACAATGAGGAGATGGATATCTAGGAAGCCTCACCAGGGACCTAATCTATTGGCTTGATCTTGAACTTCACAGCCTCCAGAACTGTGAAAAATAAATTACTCTTGTTTATAAATTACCTACTTTAAGATATTTTTTTTTATTGCAGCCCAAATGGAGTAAGACAGCTGGGTATAGAATTCTAGGTTGGAGATTACTTAATGAGAAGATACTGATATATGTCTATGGCTTCCACTGTGGCTATGGAGAATTCTGATGTCACATGACCCTTGGCCTTTGATGTAAATATTTTGTGATTTTACTCTAGAATACATAGGGATTTTTGGTCTGGGTCATTCATTGTGCTGGGCTCTTATAGGAATCCCTTGCCCTGGAAATTCCTATCCTGTAGCCATCAGTATATATTCTATTAGGGAGTGAATTATACTACATCTGGCTGGTTCACCTGATCCTAGCAAATCATTTTCCTCTTCCCAGCCGAGACTGCCTGGGGTCTAGAGGAAGTTGAGTCACTTCCTGATGCAAATGACAAACTATCAAAACTGCTCTGCTTGCAAGTGAATTTTCCATATATCTAAAGTAATAATGGTTTAACAAGGAGCTTTAAAAGCACTGAGGCTTCATTGAAAATAAATTGTAGGACTTGAAGAGAAATGTCCAATCTATTGTGAGTTACTGAAAGATATATGGTCTATTCAGAATTCCGCTTTGGGTTCATCCCAAAAAGGAAGGTCATTTCCCTCTTTTTGACCTTCAGTAACTCAGGTGTGGGCAGTTATCAGATACTGAGCCTTGAAACCAACAGAAATTGCTTAAATTCAGATCAGCCTCAGTCTAATTGGTGATGTGATCTTTTCTCCTCTAAAAGAAGCTTTTGGAGTGTTTAATGGAAAAATAACAGTACTGCTTATATGGTTCACAGTGGGAGGTATGACTGTGGGCTATATAAATGCTACTTTTGTCTTTGCACCATGGTGCCAGGCAGGTATGACAATGAATGGATTGAGACTGAAAACTTTGGGATTTTGCCCAAGACAGCACTGATTAGCTTCACATTTGGTCTTTCTGCTCCAAGTTTCCAGTTCTTCCTGTTCTGGACTACACTGTTCCTTGGTCCTCAAATGCAAATATATGTGCATGGATAGCCATAAAAAGTTGTGGCAACTTGTGGAGTGATCCTGTGAGGTCAGCCGGAAACTAAAGCCCATCTCCTGGGGGTGGGTGGCTGCATTGCCTTCAGAACAAACCAGGCAGGAAAAAAAGTTCTTTTTAGGTAGCACAGGATCTTTACAGGGGCCCTGAGCGTGGATCAGTCTTGGCTGGGTAACTGCTCTGCGCCTGAAGTTTCTCACCTGCAGAATGGGAATGGAAATGCTGGCAGACTTACGATCATGGAACTCTAGGAGGACCCAGATGAGCAAGGTGTCTGCTAAAAAGTATTAGAAAATGTTAAACTTGTGACTCCTTATGTGGAGTATCCTTAATGTGGACACTAGGAAATACCAGTTCATATAGAGGATGCTGTGCATTTAGGCAACTGGATGGGTTTCTGTCTACATGACACTTTTGCTATTCAAGAGAAGAGTGACCTGTATTTCCTTGGACTGACACTGGGACACTTGCCTCCAGGTGGGTGAGAAAGGGCATCTCTCAGAGCCCTGAATGGAAATGGAGCTTCTTCCTTTTTGGTAGGTGTGGTGCTCATGGAACTTCAGCCAGGAGGGAGGGAAGGGTCTGGAGGAAGCAGAAGGGACTGCGCCCATCTCCTCTGGACCTTTGTCAGGTTTCAGAGGTGATGAAAGTATCTGTTTCTGTGTCCATTGTGTCAATGCTCCCAGGGTCAGTGAGGCCATCCAGAATCTTATCAACGATGAGTGACATTGCAGGACCTGCTGCAAATGGGAAAGATGAGCTGTTG